CCGGCTGAGATGACATGGTAACTTTTGGAGAATGAGAGACTTTGCTAGCTAGCTTACGAAAAGTTGACATAGTATTTATAAACTACACTCTTCTTTGGTTGTTGCTAGCTTGCAAATGTATTAATTATTACCTTTTTGGCGAAACCGAGGTCCGAAATCATAAATTCGAAGAAATTTCCTATTGAAAGCTCAATTCATATCAGACTTGTCATTTCCCTACAATTACAAAATTACACACGCGCGCACACACACACAATACCATTAATTTAAAGTCCATTGCGAGCAATATGTTGAATCACAAGAAGCTTGAGTTGTAGACAGCCCGGAAGTAACTCTTTTTTTTTTTTTTTTGTTGTTGATAGCCATGAAGTAACTCTAGTTATGAAGAACACTGAAGATAAAACCTTTTTTGTGGCTGTGAGGTCAGTTTCTTGCAATCTAAGATTTCACCTTGTTTTATTACTTCTGAATTTATTTCGTATCAAGAATATTATGAGTGCAATTTTTCAACCTTTGGCGTGTCTTCTTCAGGACTCCAGAACCTACTTGGAGTTTAGATGTTGCTGCAAATGGAAAAGCTGCAGTGAAATTATTCGATGAAGAACATAGCCGGAGTAAAAAATATTGGCCAGTATTAATCAAGGACATTCTTCATCCACAAGGGTCGTTCGATCCAATGTGGAACATAATATTCATTATATCATGCGTTTTGGCAGTCTCGTTGGATCCTTTGTTCTTTTACATTCCAAACATCAATCAGGATGGCAAGTGTCTTCAATTGGACAAAACTTTGCAGACAGCCGCTCTTATGTTACGATCAATGACCGACCTATCTTATATAGTCCACATTATTTTTCAATCTAGAACACTAGTGCTCTCTGAAGTTGACGCATATTCTAGGGCATCAAAAGTAAAGTCTTATACAGTTTCTTTGAAACGAATGGGTGGTTTGGTACTTGGCAAAAAGATTTTGCAGTCATCCATCCCGATTGACATTTTATGTATTCTTCCCCTTCCACAGGTAAGAAAGAGATCGCCTACTTGAATTAATGTTTTCTGCTTGTTAACTACCTATATATTGATATATTTTGAAGGCAAGTCAGTGGATTAACTGATCGAACATGTGCTACAAGTTAACTAACTGTTGGCTTAATTTATTAATGTAACATCTGCAGGTAGTAATTTTGATTTTCTTTTCAAAAATGAGGGGCTCAGGTTCTTTGAATACAAGGAAGTTTCTGAGCTCTCTTGTTCTATTGCAATATGTGCCACGGGTTCTTCGCATCTACTTATCGTGCAAAAATCTCAACAAGAATCCTAGCGTAGAGATATGGGTTAAAGGTGTATTCAATTTCTTTCTCTACATCCTTGCTAGTCATGTAAGCTTCCGTCTTGTATAATTTATATTTGGTTAACTACTTGAGCTTTAAAATTTGCTTTAAACTAAAGTAGCTATAGTCCGGTGACTAATTAATTAATTTAGTACGTACTTGGTGTTATTTTTAGGTACTCGGAGCCTTTTGGTACTTTTTTTCTGTTCAACGAGTAACGGCCTGCTGGCAGTATGCTTGTGCAAAAATTGGATGCAAACCTAGTACTTTTCACTGTGATGACAGTTCGTATAGAAATATGACGTCTCTAAATGAATTATGCCCTATAAATCAACCAAATGCAACAGTGTTTGATTTTGGCATATTTCATGAAGCCATTCAATCTGATGTGTTGGGGTTGCAAGATTATCCACAAAAGTTCTTGAAATGTTTCTGGTGGGGTCTGAGAAATCTAAGGTTTGCACATATCTATAAAATGATTTGATCTTACATAAATGTATATTAAACTGAGTAGAAAACAAAAAGAAAATTAACAGAAACAGAAAACAAGCAAATGCATAAACAAGTAATTACTTGCTCGGCAAGTGATATGTTCTTACTTTGAGCATTTTGAAATTAGAGATTCAGATATATATGTTATCTTTTAAATATTTGCTCGACTTCAATTTTGCAGTTCTCTTGGTCAAAACCTACAGACTAGTACCTATGCATGGGAAAACCTCTTTGCGGTTTCTATTTCTATAACTGGCTTGCTACTATTCTTATATCTCATTGGAAATTTACAGGTTGGTGTTGGATATATATCTAGAATTATCACTTTTTGTCCTGGAAAATATATATATATATGTCTGATGGATATAAGTGATGAAATGCTATATCCGTTTGAGTTTGTACCAGAAATGGCTACTTCTACTGAAGGATTATGTTGGTATGGGTGATGAGTCCATAAACATGATTTAACCCCTTCTCGGAGAAATAAATTTACTGGTGTCGTTCATTTTTTCTCCGACTCATATAGTAACACCGATTGAGTCCCTTTCTTCTAACCACATTGTGATACAACATTGTGTTATCGATCCTGATTCCAAAAAAATGAAGTTTTGCATAATACTAACGAACTGACGAAGTACCTTTCTCTTGTTGTGGAATAGACGTATATGCAGTTGTCAACTACAAGATCAGAGAAGCTAAGACAGAAGATGAAAATGAAAGATCTAGAAATAGAATTATGGTTATCTAGGAATGGCCTCCCTAAGGAACTGAAGACGGTGTTCATGGAAAACTTACAACGAAAGCTTGAAAAAAACAAAGAAATTCATGTGGTGAATATGCTCTCTATTCTTCCATTGGAACATAAGAACAACATCAAGTACCATCTGTGCTTGGCCATGCTGAAGAACGTAAGTTCTATGTTCCTCTTAATTTCTATCAGGAAACTAGGGCCAATAACAAGGCTATAATTCTCCCACAATAAATTCTCAAGGCTAGCTGACCGTACGAGTATATATGTATAATGATATGAGTAATACTATTTAGACGCAATCTGACACACTTGGTGATGCAGTTTCTAATACTGGTAGACGCCCTTACAAGCATGTCTAAATAGCATTAATGCTATCGCTCGTGACAAGTGATTTGATTAATTTATTATCTGTATTTGTACCTAATGCATATAGGTGCCTATGCTGCAAACTGTCGATGAACAAGTATTGAAGGTAATTTGTGAGAATCTTAAGCCAGTTACATATAATGAAGATAGTTATATGATTCGAGAGGGAGAACTACTTGACAAGATGTTGTTCATCACGCAAGGCATCGTATGGACCTATACATCTAATAACAGTATTGAAAGATCAAGTGGATTGGCATTAAGAACTCGCTGTCTTACGAAAAGCGATTTCTGTGGCGAAGAATTGCTAGATTGGGCATCAAAGTGTACCTCCTTTTCTGACATACCCATCTCTACCAGAATTGTTAAGGCTCACACAAAAGTGGAAGCATTTGCTCTAATGGCCAACGACTTGAAGACTCTAGTCTCTAAATTTTGGTGGCATTTCAACAAGGAGATGCCAAGCTCGCAGGAGGAGTTGCTGGCAGCTACTTCCATTCAAGCAGCATGGCGCCACAATCGGGTAAAGAGAAGGTCTTCGGCTATAAGTCCCCTGTATTTGATTGACGAAGGTGGAAAATCACAAAATTTTAGTACCCCCTTCTAGGCCTTGTAAATCTTACTTCAAACTGGGTAAATGCCTTAATTGCTGGTAAATTTATGTACTTAGGGCTCGTTTGGTATTGCTATGCTTTGAAGAAAAAAAAAACTGCTTCTACTGTGATGTGAGAATAAGCTCATTTTTGTTGCTTCATGTTTTTAGCTTTTTTTTTCACCCAAAACTGTGAAAATAAGTTGTTTTTAAGTGTTTACCAAACATTTTTTTAAGCTCAGCTTTTTTTTATACCCACTTTTTATAAAAACACCTTAATACCAAACAAGTACTTAAATTGTAAGTAGAAGTGTGGAACCCCGAATTCAAGTTGAAATCCTATTTAATAAGAGTATCTCCACCAGTTGGTGGAGAGCAATGGCAATTGGAGGGCAAAGACAATAATATTGCCTTTACAATTCACTCTAAACTGGAATTGCCTTTGTGCAAGTTCACTCGTTTGGAAAGAAAAACGGCAAAGGCAAAGGCGATTAGTGTTCATAAATATATGTTTTAATTTTTTAATGAATGTGGACATTACAACAAATATAATTAAAGTCTAATTCCAATAAATAATTTTAAATACTATGAAATTTCATAGCATTACAACAAATATAATTAGTTTTAAGCTAGGGGATAAAATCAGTGTGGCTTGGTCCGTCTTCAATGTATGGAACTTCCACATCTTCCAAGGAAACCTTCTTCTCATGACGCGATTTTTTTCACTTCAGGAGATTCACCATCGAGGTGTTAGGACATGATCTTCCAATCCTTCTCCTCTTGCCCTTCTTGCTGATTCAACTCTCTTTCTCTCGCCTTTGCTTTATCTCTAGCCTTGTCTTGCTCATATATTAACCTGTCTCGTTCCATATCCAATGCATGTTGGCAAGTCAATTCATCAACTATTTTTTATATAGTTGCACCAAACACCCAGGTCTATATTACTTATCCTTTCCGATCCCTTATATGGGCTATCGAACGAGGCCTAATGAGACTACCTTCACCACAAAATTAAAATGACATGTCAAAACGCTTAGTAAAAGTGATGAGACTACATTTCAATAACCATACATAACTCTTATACCTTAGCAGCAGATATGGATCAATTGGTTTAGATTATAGAATCTCAAGGTTGGTATTCCTAATCACTTATAAGTGAGAGGTCTTAGGTTCGATTCTCGACTAAAGACGAGCTTGAACCACATTATTGCTAGCTCATTATGAAGCTACACCCACCTCCTCTTCCTTAGTGTAGATAATATTGTTTGTTAAAAAAAAATAAAAAATTCCCAAAGTTATCCCAAAACCCAGTATTATGTGACCTCATTCTCGGGTGATCAACCAATGACTTTTTCAAAAACACTACATGACCTATTAATCTAACAACGTGAAAAGTACTTAAATTGTTCAGAATATTCTTAAGGCCACATGTTCACAGGGGATTCTCTATGAAATTTATTAACACTGAAGGGATTATTACATGAACTACATATCGAATGCAATAACTTTGTTTAACAGTTAAAAATCTCCGCGTGCGGCTAAAAACACAAGTTCAACAACCATGATTTCTTAGAAGAGACTACTAACATAGCTACTTTCCCAGAAATGCTATAAATTTCATTCCATTTTTAGCGGACGTGAGGGACTCTGTTGGGAAATTGTGTTGGGACCAACAAATCTCCTTGGAGGAGTGCCTTCCAACAAAGGCCTTCCATAGCCTTCAGAAATAGGCCCCCCGGTGCCCACAAGGGAAGTCCTCCTTCCACCGTGCGTTGGAAGAATGAGGCGGAATGTCCAATGCAGGATATTAGGCACAAACACCCTGTACAGCAGGAATATGTCATACCAGCTTGGATACTTTACGTACGAATCTCCTTGACAAGCCCCAGCTACAATCAACCTGGCAAAATCTTCCACAGGCCCACCGATTACATGTACCTACAACAATATAAATATGTTTCATTTATATATAGCACATTTGAAGTACTGTTTCTTAATTTGTCTGCTTTGGGTTTGAAAACCAGAGCAACTAGCAATGGCGCATGCCTCATTGGGCTAACATAATGAAATATCAAAGCCATCGACCAACCAGTACCTCCCTTTCTTCTTTCCATTGCATTTCGGCGCCCTCCTCTAGCATGAACTTGCCTCTTGTCATCTCACTTCCAATCCATCCGTGAGTTGCAATTGTTATCCCTACCTCATGATTTACTTCTAATCTCAAGGTCTCATAAAAGTTTACCAGAGCTGCCTTTGCTGCCTAGTGATTCAAACACAACAAAAGGTCGTACCCAGTGCACAAGGCTCCCGCTTTACGCAGGGTCTGGGAGAGGTGAATGTCGGCTAGCCTTACCCCCATTTATGAAGAGGCTGCTCCCAAGTCTCGAACCCGAGACCTACCGCTCATGGGCGAAGGCACTTGTCATCGCACCAAGTGCGACCTCTTCAAACACAACAAAAGGATAGTAATTAATTGACGATTGCTAGGTCTTCAACATAGTTACTTCGACTACAGAAATTTGTCCTAAATAAGTTTGTCAAGGAAATTTGGTGGATCAAGGAATGCATCCTAAGCACTGGATTATTCTAATTTGACGATGAAATATATACAATTCTAGTTCCATGTATATTTCTCATTTTGAAATGTTAATATACTTGACCAATCTTCCGAAAGTAAAATGAAATGTTTGATTAAGTACTATATACTCACAGCATATAAACTCATTCTCGGTAGAGGTAACCAGCTCTCAACTGATGCATTAACAATTATCTTTCCATTGGTTCGACGTAGGTAAGGAAGAGCAACATATGTTGGATATACATTCCCCCAGAAATTTATATCCTGAGAACAAAGATGTTCATAACCACAATACCTCATCGATAGATAATTTTCCACATAAGGAAGAGCAATTTGCTTTAGAATTTTAGTGCAAACATTTGGACTTCTAATCATGCAACTTTGCAATACGTACCAACAAAAGGGGAAAGACAGACGTGTCTGTAACTTCCTCGAAGTAGAATGTGTGTCCTAGACTTACTGTATTTACAAGGTGATCCACTGCAAAATCAGAGAAATCAAAATAACTACTTTGTAATCATAACTAACATCATGGCACCACTGAAGGCACAAAATTCATCCCATATGGAAAGACCATGAAAGAATTACCTATTAATTTAGTTTGTAATTATAAAAATTCATAAGAGTGCAACTGCAGAATTGTTGTTTTCAGCTTAGTAGGAAATTAACATAAAACAAATACCACTGTTCATTATTCAGCTTACTATAAACATTCATTTTCGCGATATCTCAGGAACAACTACAAGCCATTGTTCTAAAAATCCCCTACTACTATCTCCTAGGTGCTAGGCAGCTGACCACCGCCCCAATTAATACCTAGGCGTTTGAAAATTAAGAAATGACGCTTAGACCTGCTAAGACACCCGCCTAGCCCGCCCAAACCCGCCTAGGTTGCGACCCAAACAGAAAATAGATAACTTACATTTTGCATTTTTTTTCAATAAATTAAAAGAGACTTGTTGAATACTTAAATGAACACACATTATATGTTTGTTCCCCATGTTTTCATTATATTTCAATACTTCATAATATATATATGTCATTCTATTTTGGAGTTTATGATGTAATTATATATATTTTAAGTATAAACAAAACTTATTTACACAAAATATAATAGATTTACTTAAATCCGCTTAAGTACTGCCTAGGCTCCGCTTAGCCATTTAGGCGCTAGGCCCCAGCCTGCCGCCCAATGAAGTTTATCGATAGAGTTCTTTGCCAAAATGGATAACTAGAAGTCATGAACAATTGCATTCTTTAGACAAACAAATATATATATATATATATATCTAAGATATCACAAGTCCACGACCAAAATAGGGTTGAAGCACTGATTAGTCCGCATCTGTCTTAGTTAAATTCGATCTTAACTGCTCGGTGCGTGGCTGTAGCTTTCATAGTTAAGGTAACTGTGAAAATAATAATATATAAATGTACACATAATTTTATAAATCTGCAGACCACTCAGTAATGCTTATGACCCATTTGTTATTTCAAGTGTAAAACTTTTGTTTTTAAAACTATGGCTTTCTAAATAACAAATTTTCTCCCTGAAAAATTGGGTGGCGCTTACCTCGGCCATGGAAGCTTATCGTTTCACTGATAAATCTCCTGCATTCCTCTTCCTTTACAACATCTGCGGCTATAATCATGACATGCTTTGCACCTATAAGCCTTGCATTCTCACTGATCACACGCAGTCTGTTCTCTCTTCGTGCCACTAGTACAAGATTCGCCCTCCTCTTTGCATATTCGTATGCAATTTGCTGCAATTACAACTTTTATGCTTTACACACACAAACACACACACACACACATAACCACTTTTATCAAACTACCAACGTATCTGTTTCCTGCATTGTATCCTCTTACTCTTATCATATACTTGTAAGGTTAACTGTGTTTTAGAAAGTTAATATGTAATATACATGCATTATTAGGTGATAAACATTTGCTACAAAGTTTCAGAGTAAAAAATTTCACGTTTTGGACCACATTTTCATCGACAGTTAGCGATATCAAATATTAAATATCATATTGTCGATATTTTCATAAAAACCGATATTTAAAATTCGCTTGAAACAGGATGATCTTCAAAATTGATGCATACATTTTATTGGTAATAGGGGACTTATAATTACCTCTCCTATGCCAGAAGAAGCTCCTGTAATTATAACCACCTTATCTTCGACAATTTCACTGTTGAACAAATTGTAAAGCCACTCACAACCACTGATGAAGGTCAACGCTGGCCAAGCAAACGCCAGCATCACTAAACTTGCCGGTGGCACCACCCAATTCAGCACCGAGTTAAACAAATCCATCGGTTCGGTTCGCCAAACAGCCTTGGTTAACCCTAATTAAACACACAACAGCTTTGTTTCTTTTTTGTTTTGTAACCGATGCTGGTCCAAAATGTGACCGATCAAATTCAGATAGGAAGAGATAAGATCCAGAGAGAGAGAGCGGAGTTGATGAGTTTGAAATAATACGGTGGGCAGTGGCAGTGGCAGAGATGATGATCAACTTCAACACCAATATCATTACATGCAAGGAGGGCACGTGTTGGTGGCAATCTCATGTAGTGACGGATGGAAGGATTTTTGGATTTTCCTGCATGAGTCTGTGCTGCTCCAACTTTGCTATTTGGTGATGAAATGTAGCACCATGGTCCGGACACCTGTTCTCTTCACTTGGTTATTTCTCTTTTTTAAATATAAAATAAAATAGAACGTTCTTAGGGCAACATTGCAAGGGTTATCAAAATGTAAGGCATTTTTTGCACCACGAGTAAGAGAATTAAGCCAAACACAACTCCAAGAAAGCGTATGCTTTAAACCTATCAGTTGATTCGCAACAAAATTTACTCCTCTAAAAATATCTTAAGGCTAAAGTCCAAGAGACTTTCATTCATTTGAATCCTCCATGGAGGACTACATGAACATTCACCGGCCTCAAAGGCTCAACCGTCGTCACAAGAGGAGCGCTGACATGAAATCTAATAATAAACCGTACAGCTGCAAACTCAGAAACCACAGAACCATCAAAGTTGAGTTTAGCAAAATTAGCTTACTTTCCTTGCCTTAATTGTCTCTTCCTCCTCTACGTACAGCTAGCTCAAACCTCCCAAGGTTTCCATCGGTACTCCTTTTGTACAAATGGAGGTTTTATGTCGGTAGTTAATATGCTTGCAAATGCACATCAATCTGACAAATTGTATGCAAAGAAGGGAAAAGAGAGGGTCTAATTGTTGGGAAGTCAACGATATCCTCAATTTCCTTGGCTGAAAATTTTGTAATTGGTTGTATGGAAGAATCAACTTTCCATATGTTTGCTTTGATTGTAGAATAAAAAGTTTTTTTTTTTTTTTTTTTGGATATAAAGTTACGTTTTGCAAGTCAATGAAAGCACTTTTGGTTAATACATTGAACTAGCCTTCTTTTACATGGTGTTGAAAAAGTTGGATTCCATCCTAAAATTAACTAGCATATAGAGGATAGTTCAACTTATTTGTAAACTTATACAGGTTTTTCTTTTTATTTTTGACATAGTATACTAAACCGTGTTTCCGGCACATTGAAATATTTCTCTATCACTTAAAAGTTTGGAGGTGCGAGCAAAAATATTTTCAAAGAAAATGGCTGCATTTTTGCTGACCATTTAAGTGGTGGTGATGCCTATCATTCTACCTATTATTATTAAATAAGTTTAAATTTTAAAATTTGTGTTTATTCACAGTAAAATATCTCAAAACTTAAACTCATCTACTAATAATAATAAGATAATGAACATCACCTTCACTTCAAGAGTGAAATAAAATAAGGTAAATTACATTTTACCCCTCAGGTTTAGGGTCAATTTCAATTCCTTACAACATATTTAAAACATTTCAATTTCATACATTTACTTATCATTTTATTTCAATTTCATACATCCGTTAAAAAATCTAAGTAAACTGTTAAGTGATGACGTGGCAAATATGGGATCCACATTTGTGCTGACGTGGCTTTCAAATTTATGCCACGTGACAAAAAAAATAATTTCTTATGTATTTAAAATATAATAATATTTACCCTATTTAAATTATTAAAATTAAAAAAAATAAAAAATAACCCTACAAACCCAGAAAACCCATCTTCTCCCTCCCTTCCCGACCCCCTTCACCTTCATCGAGCGTAAACCCCTCCACCTCCGATACTCTTCACCGCCACCATGTCCAACCCTCTCCTCCTCACACTCCTCCTCCACCTACTCTCCGAAACGGGGGTCCACTCCGACCACCAAAACGACACCCCCGTCGCCTTCCTCATCGTCATCACCCAAACCCTAAACCTCAAAATTCAGACCCTCCATTCCACTCCATCCAAATCCAAGCTCCCCTTCCTCCCTACCTAGCTTGGGTTCCACCCCTCTCTCCCCTCCGTCTTCCTAGACTCCATCCCCGTCGAGCCCGACAAGTGGACCCACCCTCCTTTCTCCGCCCACTGCACCCCGAATGGCCTCATCTTTGCCCGTGGTGACCAGGACGACAAGTGCATTGCCATCTAGTACCTCGTGCCCATGACAAATGTGGGGTTTATGTTGGTGGCAAATCGATATTGCTGGGCGGAGGGAGCAACTGAGGGAGTGTAGGGGGAAGATAGGTTTTTGAGTTTTCTGGGTTTGTTGGGTTTGAGGTGGAGGGGTTTGAGGAGGAGAGGGTTGGACATGGTGGCAGTGACGAGCATCGGAGTTGGAGGTGTTCACTCCCTAAATCCACCATGGGGCCTTGCGGGCAAGCCGGGGATTTACTTCACATACGAGATTGGTGGGTGCGGGCGTGCCACTACTAGATGCCGCTAGTAGACGGGATTTGAATGATTGAGGTTGCGCCTTTTGACTTCAAATCAAGAGATTGTGTCATTTGAGTGGGAGTTGCTCAAATTAAGGTTCTTTGTTTGCCTTAAAAATAAGGACTTTACTTATATGGAGAGATAGAACAATATGTAAATGACAAGGTTGCTTGGAAATATAAATGACAGAGGAAAGTGACTAAAATTGCAGATTGCTTGTAATTTATATGGCTGGAAATGAGTACATAAAAGCTACAAATCAGATCGATACTAAGTGAGTAGCAGAGCTAATAAACAAGAAAAGCAAAGGATGCTTGGCTAAAAATAAATGTCTACAAGGAAGCTGATGAGCTAATTTGAGTAGAGTTTTGATTGGTTGTTTTGAGTGTCCATAATCCTTGTGCATCTGCTCCTTTTTATAGAGGTCTGGAGGAAACCCTCCTCCTGAGGTTTTGTACCTGCCCGAAAGAAGCTTGGGCAGCTTGCATTTCCTTTTGCCAACTTGCATGTAGAAATAATATTAAAAAGGGATTTGCATCTCCACCACATGTTTTTAGCACATGTTTTCCCACTTGTAATAAACTAACATTTAAAAGAAGCAAGTTGGCTTCTTTCACATGTTCCTTGCCCGAAAGCTTGCTGATGCCTTTCCATCTACTTGCCAAACATGCATGTATCTTGATTAAACAATGCTTGACAAATCTCCACCACCAAAACAAATTGGAAGAACAATATTATAGTGTCCAACCCTTCCACTTGCATCTAAATATTTCCAAGTTAGCTTTCTTGCATATTAATCCTCCAAATGCCATATTTTACCCAAATTGCCCAAATAAGTAAAAATTGGTATATTTTGAGTGCAAACAGTGCCCCCCAAGTTTTACAAATTTGAGCAAAATTTGTGAAACTTACAACCCCAATGCTGCCAGGATTGATGTCAAAGGAAGAGGCACGTCTACCTCTTCGATCCTTTTGTCGTTGAGAAACTTGGCAAGATGAGCAAGGCAATTGGTAGTACAACTAGCATTGGAAAGAATGTTGCATGACTTGTGCTTCTTCTTGTTGATACCAAAAAACATGGAAGCATCCTCATTGGTTACAAAAAATAGCAAACTGGAAAAAGGGCCGAAGTCGGGCAAACTGGAAAACACAGAAAAAAGATGGAGAAGAGAGAAACTTGGGTAACTTTTCTTTTTCTTTTTTGCCTCTTTTCATATGATATAATATAATATAATACATATATATATATATATAATAGCCCACTCAGCAAAGTACTTTTAATTGCCTTACTTTATATAATATGATATAGTATAAATATAATACATATACATATATAGGGCCCATTCGGGCAAAGGAGAACAGAAAGAGATAAGAAGAAAGAGAAAGGAATGAAAAGAAAAGAAAAAGGAAAAGAAAGATAAAATAAATAAATAAAGAAAAAGGGAGAAAGAGAAGAGGACCTTTTCGGGCAAGAAGGGAACGGAAGAGACAGAAGAGAAAGAAAGGGGAAAGGAAAAGGGAGAGAGTGAAAGAAATAATAAAAAAGTAAGGAAAGAACCTTTTGTCGGCAAAATGGGACAGAAAAGAAAGAGAAAGTAAAGGAAAGGGTTGTAGAAACTCTAAATAACACACCAGAATCTCCACTTGTTAGCAGATCCCTGCCACACCTCTCAGAACTACAGCTCTATATCTTGACACCTTGACAAGGCTGGGACTGCGGCCTCTGTCATACCTATCATCTCATTCATCAAAATGGCGTTGTCCTTCTTTTCTTCTTTATGCACTTTTGCTCTCCCTAGTGGCATCCCCCTTTTTGCTTACATCGCCTTTTGATTCTCTACTCTATTCTCTTGGGCAACACCACTGGAAACATCTTGGCTACGAGTCTCAATTTGGTAGGGTATCCTAGCTCAACAACAACTACTTCCAGTTCTTCAAGCCCCCTCTTCTTCAGTTCTTCAAGCTCCCGAGCGCTGTAAAAACATTGGTGCTGTTCAGGACCACCGACTCATCCTTCTTGCTTGTGCCTCTTGCCATTTCTCACCCTCTCCGCAACGTCCAAACAACATGATTATCCATGTCACCAAACAACGGGTTTTATGTGAATTTCGGTTTTTGCCACGGAGCTCAGGCGGGATGTGTAGGGTGAAATCTGGTGGAATCATCTCCTTGATGGATGCATTAGTGGAGATCTTGACACAGGTAACACAGTCGGGCCTAGCAGTACCCTCCATGAGACCTGGAATAATATTGAACTACCTGCGGACTTCTTCATCTATTTTTAGCACGTCACTTCCCACACTCTCCATGGTTATGGCAGAGAACCAGTAAGGGTTGTGATGAAACGAACAATGATGCCCACAGAACAGCAATATCCCCAACATTGTCACCAATCTCAGCTGGGTTTCTTGGGTCATCATTAGGAATGTTTCTTTCAACCTTTTCTACCAGGTTAGCCCCAACATCAGCAACCTTGGTAACATATCATTGAAGCTACATCAGTTGTGGCAAGAATACTTCAAATATGTTTGCCAGATCAAACATAAGGCCCCAC